AACCCCGTCCCATTCTGGGATGAGACTGGTTAACAGCTGGCGATAGGAGCAAGGGGAAGAACATATTATATAATGTCTACGAAAGTCATGAAAAGTTGACTTAACTGCTATGATAAGCAACCAGTAAGATAGAGAATAAGAATCTGCAGTGATTTTAAAAATGCATTTCCAGGCATGGTATCCAGACTGTCCCCCCACATCCTTAGTGCTCTACTCCTAAGTCTGATAGTGGCATGGCATGTGCTGTTGAGGAAACAGAGGCCCCGGTGCCACAACACTTAGACAAGAGAGGCTGTCTCGGTGCTACAACCACACAGGATTAGGTCATGGAATTCTGAGAGTGTTGGGTCCTTTGGAAGACAACTTCTGCTTTTCTTCTTCTTCTTTTTTTTTTCCTTTTTGATAAATGCCAAGCTCCTTGTCAAAATATTTATTATGACTAGAGACAGGAAAATTTGACTTTTTCTTTTGAATAGGTTCTCTGCCTCTGGCTTGGGTGTTCTGACCATTTCTCTTCTCTCTGCTCATTTTCCTTTCCTCTTTCCACTTTTCCACCTTTTTCTCAGTTCTTTCTAGTTCCATCTTTTCCTCTCACTTCATAGTATTTCTCACTGGCCATGTAAAATGTGGAACAAGGGAATTGTCCAATGGACAGGTTGTATGGCCAGGTCAATGAGGGCAAAGATCTCTTTTGTGTAGTTAGGAGGCACCCACTTTGAACACTTTTTTGAAAATGAATTAAAACCCCCTGATAGGGATCCCTGGGTGGCGCAGTGCTTTGGCGCCTGCCTTTGGCCCAGGGCGCGATCCTGGAGACCCGGGATCGAATCCCACATCAGGCTCCCGGTGCATGGAGCCTGCTTCTCCCTCTGCCTGTGTCTCTGCCTCTCTCTCTCTCTCTCTCTCTGTGACTATCATAAATAAATAAAAAAAAATAAAAAAAAAAACAAAGGGAAATAGAAAACTTTAAAAAAAAAAAAAAAACCCTGATAGTCTTTAAGCCATAACCTGGTAACAAAAGGGTACAAATCCAAATATTTTTCTCCTCGTGATTTTCAAAAACTTTCTGCCATAACCAGCACTCTGCTTTGTCCTATTGCTGATATAGATTTCAATATTATTATGGTTGTTTAATTAAATTGACTGAATTCAATGAAACCCAAAATATAAGGCAATTTAACAAACATTTGATAAGTTTGTATTATGGGCCAAGAAGAGTATGATGTGTAACTGACCCCCGCCCTGGGGAGCTTAGCATTTTGGTGGGGAAAAGGAATAAATAATACATCCCATTATCATATAGGTACTTACTATATGACATCTATATGACATCCCATTATCATATAGGTACTTACTGCCTAACAAATTACCCCAAAACTTAGTGGCTTAAGATAATACGAACTTATCATTGCACAATTCCTGTAAATCATGGATATGGGTATGGCTTAGCTGGATCCTTGGCTTCAAGTTTTCTTGTAAGAATGAAAAGTATTGATTTAGGGTCTATGGTCCTATCTGAAGCCTCAACTATGGAAAGATTCATTTCTTTTTTTTTTTAAAGATTTTATTTATTTATTCATGAGAGACACAGAGAGAGAGGCAGAGACATAGGCAGAGGGAGAAGCAGGCTCCATGCAGGGACCTCAGGATCACGCCCTGGGCAGAAGGCAGGTGCTAAACTGCTAAGCCACTCAGGTGTCCCAGGAAGATTCATTTCTTAGCTCACCCATGGAGTTGTTGGAAGGTATTCAGCTCCTTGATGTGTCCTTATGGGTCTCAATTTCTCACCAGCTGTGGGCTGAAGGACACCCTTAGTTCCATGCCACATAGGCCTCTGCAACACAGCAGCTTGCCACCAAAGTATGCAAGCAGAGAAGGCAATAAACAAAAAACAAAACAAAACAAAAGAAAAACAAAAACAAAAAACAAAGCATCTTATAGAAAATAATTTTAGAAATGACAGCCCATCCTTTTTGTGTATTCAGTTGATTAGAAGTGAGTTGTTAGCTTTAGCCCACACTCAAAAAGAGAGGATTACACTGAAGCCTGAATACCAGCTGGGTGATCACTGGAAGCTATGCCAGAAGCTGCCTACTACAGAAAGGTTAAGAGATTGCTCAAGAGAGGCTCAAAGAAGCTGTGATCCTGTTAACACAGGGAGTGGTGGAAGGAATCTTATCTCTAAAAGGCAATATTTTCTGGGGCATGTGGGTGGCTCAGTCGGTTAAGCGTCCAACTCTTGATTTTGGCTCAGGTCATGATCTCAGGGTTGTAAGATCAAGCCCCATGTGGGGCTCTGTGCTCAGCAGGGAGTCTGCTTGAGATTCTCTCTCCCTTTTCCACCCCCACCCCCACTCATGCATGTGTTAGTAAACTCCCTCTCTTTCTAAAATAGATACATTAATTAAAAAAATAAAATAAAAGGAGGTGTTTTCTGACTACACTGGACTGCACTAGGTTTTGGCATCTCCCCAGTGATTTGTGGAATAATCCTAGACTTTCAGAATTTGTGACGGGAGCCTTGGTAGCTAAGCACTTAAGGTGTTATGTCCCTAATCATGAAGAAACATGGAACCTCACCAGGGTCCTAAAAGAAACATTTATGGTTACTCTATTCAATATTTGTCTCAAGGAAATTTTCCTAATCATTTGCTCATTTAGTAGTTTACTTATTCACTTATTTTTGTATCAATTAGTGGTAGATAGTGAAACTCAAAGATAAATTACCTTGGAGAGACTAGATAATGGGATCTATAGTTATAAGTGAATAAGATTTACTTTTGAAGGCATCTCTGTAGCCTAGACAGAGGTTCAGCAAAATATGTCTCGTGGGTCAAATTTGCCTCCCCCCTCATCTGTTTTTATGTGGCTCATGAGATAAAAATGGTTTATACATTTTTTTAATGTTTGAAAGAGTAAACAACAGAATAATAATATTCCGTGATACATGAAAATGGTATGAAATTCAAATTGCAGTGCCTATAAAGCTTTATTGGGACAAACCACTCCTGTTAATAGATATATTGTGTATGACTGCTTTTGCAGAGTTGAGACCACATGATTCACAAAGCCTAAAATATTTACTGTCTGGCCCTTGAAGAGGAAGTTTGCCCACTCCTAGTCCGGAGAAAGATGGACACATAAACAAATAATTACTGTGTTGTGATATATGATATTCTAGACGTATATACCAGGGTCACCGTGAGCACACAGGTTCTGTTCATAACTGCTTCCGGGTTGGTGATGAAAGACTTCATGGAGGTCTCCTTGAGGATAAGTGAAGGTTTTCCTGATATAGGAGGTGTTAGAAAGGAAATTACTCATGGCACTTGTTAGAGATGGTTGAGGAAGACTTTAAGCAAGAGAGACTGCTGCAATGTAGATCTTGTAGCAAGAGAGAGAGAGAGTGGACCCAACTCTGAATACAACAAGGGCCCGCAGAGGTTTACAGCCAAGGAGCAGGGTGGGGGTCCCTTGGTGGAAAATTAGTAGGAGGACATACCAAGACTGGGGGGATTCTGGCCAAAGCAACACTACAGGATTTTTGCTAAAAGCTAGCCATGGTGATAAGATATCTAGGGTACAGGATGAGGAATTTGATCAGATATCAAGGGTGGGAGATTTTTGCAAAACTGATCCAGCAGGATTCCTGCTGAAACTAGCCTGAATGATCCAAGGACAGAGCTCAAGGTTGGGGCCTGGTCAGAAAGAAGAGTCAGAAGAGTCTAACTCAAGTTTGGTCAAAGGAAAGAATCTTTGAGCGTCTGTCAGGGGTGAAAAGAGAGAAAGGACAGTCTCTCTCAAGGGTCCTTAAATTGGTGACCATGGACTCCTCAGGGGGCTAAGGTGGCCCTGAAATTGTTCTCCAAACCTGTGTTTATATGCATATGTGCATTTCTTCCCCTCTAGGGAGAGGATCTGGTTCTTTTTTGTTGTTGTTGTTTTGTTTTGTTTTGTTTTGTTTTGTTTTGTTTTGTTTTGTTTTTTTGAGGATCTGGTTCTTACAACAGGTTTTCAACTATTGAGGAATCACTGTTTGGGGCAGACATGATGGGGGGCAGCCCATGCAGAGTCACAGATGTGTAAGAGAGACTCATCCACTTTCAGGAGCCAATGGTGAGAATACAAAATAGGTTTCTATGGAGTGTAGATGGAAATAAGGCTAACCAGGTGTCACCTATTGGAGGGATAACGCAGAGGTCTGAGGCTGACTCAGTGCAGCTAAAAGGACTCACTAACACAAAGATACCGACCAAAAAACCAAGTTAAACAGCCTTGGTCTTTGCTCTCAAGTGGCCACTCCATCAAAAGCAGCTGATGGATAGGCAGGAAGAACTCAGCCACCTACGGAGAGGCTGTGGGTTGGCAGTTGGCTATAGTAACGCTGGAGAAGTTGGCCAGATGTCCCACTCTTTAATCAATCCTTGATCAAACCCATCTCCTATTCCCCTAAACCAAAACAACATTGACTAAACCTGCCTGTGGCCCTGGGAAAGTCTGGCCAAGCAGCAAGAGGCCGGCACAAGACCCAGCTTCCTCTTCAGGAGGGGGTTCTTTATATTTGACGGTGCCGGGGGCACACAGAGCAAAAGAGAAGTCTCCAGTCCTGGCAGGGAAAGTCCCTCAGACGGAGGGATGGAGATTCTGGACGTGAGGTGTGTGGGGAGGAGGTAATGGTTTTCACTGAATTCCTTTTTATATTTTATTTAGATTAAGTTCTGCTCAGCGGGGTGATTTCTTAATTAGAGCCGCCCAGCCAGGCAGACCTCCAGCTCAGACCCCTGTGCTGCCTTCTAAGGTTTCATGAGGGACCTTGTCCTGCCTTATTTCCTGAGTTCTAATATTTGAATAGTGTGCAGTGGATTTCAATGGGAGGAAAGACATGTAATTTAATCATCTTTATTAGATTTTGCCTGTGGATGGGGAGAGGGGAAGGAAGGAGGAGGGACGTGTGTCCTCTCTTTGTTAATTTTCTTTCTTTTTCTCTACCTTTCTACCAGTGGTCAAAGAAGGAGGAGACCCAACGGCTGTTTCTTTCTCCCTTCATTTTTCCAACAAAGAAGCTTCATGAGAACATTAACACCGAAAGAAAATTGTGTTCACTGCAGGACTTTTCAAGGATCGGTGGAAAGATTTATGTAAACAAATTATTCAGTTCTTCCTTTGGTGACCTTGGGCCTAAGAGTGAACGCGATGATCCTATGGCTTTTTGCCCTTTCCTCAATACAGAAGCTGCAGACTGCGCTCAGCAAGACCTCACCAAATGGAGGAAAATTAAAGAGAGAAATGGTCCATGGTGTATTCTTACCCGCCATAAATTGGCGTCATTTTGGCCACCATCCAGGAGAGAGACACCAGCCTATAGAAACAGAGAAAGAAGATCAGAAGCTGATGGAAGGAAGGGAGGTTGGTCGTGCTGCTGTCCTCAGGAAGGTAGAGGGAAGCCGAGCAGGAATTAACAGGAGTGAATAGTCAGCAAGGGTGTTTTACAGGAAATAACTCTATCTACTGAGGTTTTCCAACAAATGCAGAATTCAGCGTAGCAGATCAAAAGAAAGAAAGGAAGGAAGAAAGAAAGAAAAAGAAAAAGAAAGAAGAGAATAATTATGTCCAGAATTGTCCCAATTGTCCTGCTCAGTGCAAACACACACAAACACACACACACACACACACACACACACACACACACACACCCTGCAGCCTATAATCCTCCCTCATGCCCCTATCCTGTTGATCTTTCTTCACTTAAAAATTATCGGCAAAGAATTTATTCATTTGGGAGAATTCCAGGCACTACATTTATGTTCAGTTCAAATGAAATGGGATCCAGACTTTTCAAACTGTGCTGTTCTGCAGATAAAACACAAAGGCAGGACCTCATTATCTGGAGACATGGTCCTTTCTTTTTCCTGTTGCCTTTTGTTTCTAAGCAATTTTAGGCTTGTTTGGAAAGTCTCATAACAGGGGCAGAACATTTTTCACCACATCTATTTCAGGAGGGTTTTTAGTTAGGAATAATGAATTTACCTCTAAACAGATGGAAGAGTTTTACTAAAGCTAGAAACGACACTTTTCTTAATATCCCCGATAGGCTGATCTTAATCCTCTCATTGTTAAAAATGCTTGGTCTATGAGAGTCTTATTTATGTGCCAAGTGTCTTTATTAAATCATGAAATTAACACAGAAAAAAATCCTATTACAATGGGTTTCTGTATATGATCAAAAGTTGTTCATGGTCCTGCTGATAGACTACTTATTCCAAAATTTAAAAAGGTGAAATCCCAATAGAGCCCAATGCTTGGCTGAGGTTTTAAAAATTCATTGTAAAATGGCCGGAGGGGTTATGAGGCCCCCAGCCAAGAAAAGGCCCACGTTTTATCAAGGCAGTAGTCCCTAACAAAAAGAAAACTGTGAAAGATAGGCCTCCCATTCACCCATACAAACGAATTCCTGGCAACATTGTAATATGATTTGACCTGTAGAAACACAACAAGTCTCTGATATCCACTTTGATTTTTAAGAACCTAAGAGGCAAATTCAAAGACAAATTGCACTAGTGAATCCAGGGTTGTGGGATGCTAAAAGAGTTTAAAAAGTCAAGAGAAGCAGTTTGGTATGTTTGTATATTGGATTTTGAAATTGAACTAAAAATATATTTTTTTGAATGCAGAAGTAGTACATGTTCGTCACAGGAGAAAAAATTCCCTCAATACCCTTCCCATTGAGAAAGTACACTGGTTTGGGGTTTCCAAACTCGATTCTTGCCTTTACATGAAAGTGAGTGTTAATGGCTCTGTGTTAGGGCTTAGTCTAGAAGCGCAGGTCCTGATGGACATTAGGAGAACCTAAAAAGAGAAAAAGAGATCCAACTTGGAGCGGTCAAGGTCTGTGGCCTGTTAGGGGGACCTGGAGGGCTCCGTTAACCACCTAAGGGAAGGCAACAGGAGGTCCAGATGAAGCAGAAGACACGGGAGGACCATGCACGATGGAAGATCTTAGGTAGAACCAACAGGTAGCAGATAAGCTGGGACAGACGTGACTGATGTCAGACAGAGAGACGGAGCCTGCAAAGGGCTTTGACCCCGGAGATGCGTTTAAAATCCTTTAGCCTTTCAAAGATGGTTAACCCAAATTACTTTTCTTGCTTGTTCAGATGCCTTAATATCTCATACCATTACCAAGGACCTGCCATGTTAAAAAATAAACATTTGGGAAGCGAGGGCGATTTTTCTCTTTTCTTTTTAATTGCAATTGTGATGTGCTCATGGCCTGACATTATATGAGGTCTGGCTTAGATTAGCCCCTGGCTGAGAGATCCCTGCTAATTTAGTGACTGCAATTATGCCTGCCTCTAACCACGGTCTGCTTTGTGTGGGACATGCCCTTGGAGTTGTTTTTCTCCACCAGAAGCAGTGGTTATGTTGGCCCTCTATACGTTTTTGCCCCATTGGTGAGACAACTGGCCGGGATTAGGGGTATGATCTGTGACCCTGAAACAGAGTGAAACTAATTGGCAGTGAGGGAGCAGATTCCATGTAGAGTGCGAGCACTGTAAGTACTCTCGTAAAAGACCCCAAGTGCCACAGGTGTGCACCTGCCTTCCAGCCCTAACGATTCTTCCAATAAAAGAAGCAAAAAGGAACAAAATACAAACGTTTTCTGAACACCACTGCCTTTGCTTGGGGTCTCACGCAGCCACAGGATGCAGGTAGGGGTGTGTGTGTCCCTGATAATCCAGGATGGCCAGCAGCCTTTGCTTGCAACCTGCAGAGGCTGGCAAGGAGGAAACGTTGCATAATTTAGAGCAGAAAGGGTGGGTGAGTGGATGAGGGGAGGGAGGCAGCGTGGGGGGGGGGGTGGATCTCCTCTCCTGCTCTATTAATCAACCGCAGAAGCTGCAACTTTAGGATTTGCACAGTTGGACTCCAGAGGAAGGTGAAGAGACTGCACATTTAAACATTTAAAATTTTTTTTTAAACCAGTTTTAAAATATAACTCAAAGGACACTCCCCCCCCCAGCACACCCAAATATTATTTATTAGCAGAAAGAAGCCTATGTCACGTGCTCTCTTTGAAACCACCTTCAGGCTTCTAGATTCACAATTGATACCAAGGAAAGCAACTGCTTGAGTTTGTGTGTTTGGGGGCGACAGGGGATGTGGACCGAAGCGTTGAAAGCTCACTAAAAGGCAGCTCCATCTTGTTCTTCCTGAGATGAGGAATTTGGCTGTGAAGCCCCAGGAGGCTGGGGGGTAGAGGCTGGGGGCAGGAAGAGGAGGAAGCGAGCACGGGGGTGGTGCCTGGGAGGGCTCCGGGCCAGTAACCAGCTCCCTGGCTGGGGGCAGGTGGAAGTCTCCAGGGTCAGCACCGGGCAACCTGGGAAGGCAAGGGAGGAAAGAGATTTCTGGAAGTCTCCCGCTGTCCCTCCTGCCTGCTTCCCTCCTTGTCCTGGTGGTTGATTGCCAGGGAGCGGCGGAAGGAAGGATGGATCAAACCTGAAGAAGAAAGAACCCCTGCCATGTGGCCCCAGGACACCAGCTCTGACCCGCAGCGAGGCCCTGGCAGTGGTGTCCTGCCCATCAGCCCATCGGCGGCAGCAAGACCAAGGCCGGGAGGCACATCGGCTCCAACTGTTTGCTTTAGCACTGAGAGCAGTGTGGAGCCATAGGCCCCATGGTGAAGGGAAAGGGCATCCGGTCTGTGCACCAGGTCCCGGCCTGGGGGTGGCAGGGGGAGTGGGGGGGGAGGGTGGGTCTCCGTCCCAAAAGATGTCAAACACCAGCTGAGTTTCTAGACCTCATCTTGGTGGCCTCCCCCCCCCAACTTTTTTTTTAAAAAGAATTTATTTATTTATTGGAGAGAGTGAGAGAGAGAGCAAGTGCACAAGCCGGGGGAAGAGGCAAAGGCAGAGAGAGAAGCAGGCTCTCCACTGAGCAAGGAGCTGATGCAGGATTCGATCCCAGGACCTGAGCTGAAGGCAGACACGTAACCGACTGAGCCCCCCAAGGGCCTCTTCTGTGACCTTTTGAATGTGCAAGGACAAATACAGCCACAATCCATCTGGTAGACCGCAGGGCTGGCTGAGAGCTAGGAGGCCAGCAGGTTATCTTCAGGTCCTCAAGTGGAGCTTTTGTTTTATTCTTTTTCTCTCTCTTTTTGACTTATTTGAGAGAGACAGAGCAGGGGGGAGGGCAGAGGGAGAAGGAGCAGCAGAGTGGCTACTGAGTCGGGCCCAATGTGGGGCTCCATCCCAGGACCCGGAGATCATGACCTGAGCACCTGAGCGGAAGGCAGACGCTAAACGGACTGAACCACCCAGGCACCCCTCTTTTGTTTTATTCTGCTTGTTTTCCACCCGCATGGGATGTCCCCTAGGGGATGGGGAGGGGGTAGTCTTGGCTCATGTTAAAATGGGGTTCCCCTGAACACAGGACGAAGACATGGGGGGAAATGCCCAGAGCCAGCATCAGAGCTTTTAGGGTACGGGGTGGGGGTATCACTACTGGCCTCCACACTTGCACATAATCAAGTAACCAATCACCTGGTAACATTGGTGACTGCATCCTTTTTTTGTTTGTTTGTTTTTTTTCCAGCCCCTTCATCTACCCTAGCACACCCAAATATTAGCAATAATAGCAAATAATAGCACACTCAGCAAACCTGAGACGGCGGAGCACATCTTGATCTTGAACTGTCAGGTGGAGCAAGAGAAGCCCAGCCTGGGGGGAATTATTTGCTCTCAATCATTTAGGGTGACAAGGAATCACTTTGTGGTGGGACAGCTGGGAAAGGTGGGTGAGAGAATGTGCTGGAATGGGCCATTTCTCATGTCTGTCCTATTCCCTGCTGCAAACACTTTCTCCATGCCCCAGATCTCACGGGAGAGGAAATAAGACTGTGATTGGGTGTCCTTGAGCCTCCGTATATTTCTGAGCCTTCTTGTGTCTGCTGCGTCCCCGAAGCTGTTACTCCTGTAACTCTTGGAGCTTTCCATTGTAGATGCAACTTCGCTGGGGAAGAGAGAACTATCCTCTGCTCCCATCACTCACTCACTGAACAACATTACCCAGCACCTACGTTGAGTGAAATAAGGCGGGCCACTGCCTTCCAAAGGTATATTTCTCTAAATACTGTCTCCCCAACCCCCAAGACCCTGCCAAGGTTTTGAGAGAACTTCTTTGAGGAAGGATGAGCAAGGCTCATATCTACCAGAAGACAGCCCCTCCTGTATTTCCATTCTTCCCGAAGTAGAGGTCATTACAGGCTTCTGTAGAACTACTTGGGATGGCCAAGGCTCCTCAAGGGGTAAAGGAGGTCAATTTGAAAATAAGAGTAAAGGCAGCTATGTGCAGAGAGCTCTTCGAGGTTCACAGGGGGCTTTCACGTGTTTTTGTGGAGTGAGAGTTACCATGAGATACGGCCAGGCATGAGCTTAAAGCCATGATCCCCCCTTGCTGGGCTCTATGATTAGTGCCAGGGCTAAAGTGGCCCAACACAGACTTCCTTGTGACACCGCCCCACCCCCCCCAAAGCGATCAGATTGCTTCCATGACCATGAGGACAGCATGTGTCCTCTTCACCTGGCTCAGCCTTTCCGTTAGCTGACACCTAGTGTGGCCGTTCACTCACAAAACAAAACCAACGCAATGAAAAAATTAATTTGAAGAGTCTGAAGAACAATGACTTTAGGGATTGAGGCTGGTTTCAGGACTTTTGGTTATTTCTGCTCTTGTGGGTGTTTCCTTGGATGTACAATCAGTATCGAAACCAGCAAATGAACAACAAAAAAAAAACAACCCAAACGGCAAAACTCTAAGTGTTCTCAGGTTTTGACCCATGTGCCATTTGCCATCAGAAGTCATGAGATCCGCAGTTACAGGACCCAGGACTGAGTTAATGTCTGCAGGACAAATTGCAGCACGTTATGTTTTCTGGGGCTGGTTCAAATCTAAATATCTTCATCAGTGATATATGATCTCCTGTGATTGTTTATTTAGTTCTGTTTGTCTCTTTTTTGAAACCAGCTTTTAGCATCAGCCTCCATGAACAGTGGCTCGACATCTTTGCAGCATCAGCCCAGTCGTTGGCTTCTGCCCCAACCAAAGCATGATGACCAGGAAGGTGACATGTCCCCAGCCAGCCAGCACCACCAGGACCTGCTGCTCCCTCCTTCATTACTAAGGCTCTGGGGGTGTGGGGGCGGGTGTGGAAAATCAGCAAACCTGACTGGTTCAAATGGATTTCCACTCTTTACGTTCAAGCATTTTGGGTTTGAGGAAACCCCAAACATTTTGAGCCCTGGGCACTTTTTCCATTAATTTTTTAAACTGATGTGTATGTCAAGGGAAATTTAATACGTCGGTTTCTGATTCATTTACACTTAACTCATCAAAATATTGTTCTGTAAGAGGCATTCGGTGTCCAAGAAATCTTAAGAGCCTTTTTATAAGCTTTTAAATTTCTTTTAAATGTTTAAGAAACAGAAGTTGCAGTCTCCCCAATGTAAACAGGAGGGAATCCCTGGTGGCAGGGAGGGAAGAAAGGAGGGAGGAGGGAGGTGGAAGGAAGGCGCCCAGACATACTGACCTCAGTCCCTGAGGGACACCAGCCCAGGCCCGGTGCTCGTAACCCCCTCTTGGTGCTCCATGCCTCACCCACAGTCAGGGGAACAATTGCTTCCACCTTCTTGAATCCTGAAGGCAAAGGCAAACTCTTGTAGGGGTCCCGCTGTTGGCAGAGAAAGCTCCCAAGTGTTCTCTGCAGAAGAAGGCTACAGACTCCAAGATTTTACTTCCAGGCAAGACCCTTTTTTTTTCCCTTCAAAGAAAGTGCTCATAATGTGTCCTTTCATTTATAATTTTATGAACGTCTCAATTGAACATGTAAAGAAAGTGGAAAAATTCGAAGTTGCCATGGATGTTTGGCATTCTTCCTCACTCTGCTAAAATCCACTTTCTCCCCCAAGCGAAATGGTTTCAGAGATTCCCATAAAAGGGGGAGGAGGGCAGTGAGGGCGGCCGTCTGGAATCAGGGTCTTAATGAAAATACATTTGTATTTTAATTATTTGAGTATGATCTGCTTAGGTTTTCACCCTATTTCACTTGGCTTTCTATGTTAAAAGCAAGCGATACATTTCATAATGCCCGTAACTTCCGTAAACAGGCACTCGTGTATTTTATCTTGTTTTGCCAACTGGCTCTACCAAGCGGTAAATGTTG